GTAACATGAAATACAGACAATAAATAAAAACTAAAAAAGAATATAAAAAATAAATGAATATAAACATACATATCAAACTAGAGTGGCAGTCATTATGGCCCTTACAGTCATTCACCAACAAGCTTAATACATGCTATTCTTGGTTCTGACACACCCAACCTACTGCTGATGCTACTGAGGTCCCCCCTCCTGCCCACCACCCACACCCACACCCTCCCCATCCCCCTCCCCATCTTCACCCTCAGCACCACCACCACCACCACCACCATCACCAACCGGCAACCTCACCACCTCCCTACCCCTCAAACCCTCCCCCCTCGCCAGCGCCTCCAACCCCTCCGCCTGTTCCCACCTCGAACGACTCACATCCTCCACATCCAGCACCTGCACCACCACATCCACCGCCAACCTACTCTCGCGCGTGCCCGCCTGGCTAGCGGCCAACTGCGGCGGCAGCGCGTGGGTGGCGGCCCAGCGCGCGTCTAGCAAGCCCGGGGCGGTCAGGTCGCTGGAGAGGAGGCGGGTTCGCGCGGTGGCGAGGAGGGAGGCTAAGGGGGGCAGCGGGCTGGTGGGCGTGCGCGGGGTGCAGAGGGCGCGCAGCCAGGGGAGGGAGGGGAGGGGGTGGGTGGTGGTGGAGAGGGAGGTTTGGAGTTGGGTGGGGATGTCCATTTTTGGGGGAGGGGTGGTTTGGGGTGTGAGTTTGGTGGTGGGTGTGGTTTTGTTGGGAGTGGTGATGGATTTGGGTTTGGTTGGAGTTTGAGACGATGTGCTGGGGTGGGCGGGTTGTTCTTTGGTGCGGGTTGAGAACCCAGGTTATGAATGCGCTTCCTTTGGGAGATCGGATTTGGGGTCGTGATGAATTTGGGAGGAAATGTGACGATCCTCTAATATATCTCGTCGTATTAGCACATGGTAAATCTCGTGGTAATATTTTCAGAAGAACACACCTTTTTAAAGCCTGTCGACTCATCCACTTTCCACTCGGGATCCGTTAACAATGAACGGTAGTGAAGCTTGGCGTGCGAATCTGTGCCTGGCGATGTTGAAATTTAGTGGAGTGTTAGAACCCTGCAGCGCGGCATCTCCCCGGATTGTTAGCGCGGCCCAGCAGCGGGAGGTCCACTTGTGCCAGCTCAAGTGTCAACTGTCAGTTGTCAGCATTCAACCTCCAGCAAAAACAACAATAAATCAACAATACACGACCCAACTTGGTACCACATCAACCACAATGTCAACCATTGCCTCCCCACGAGACCGACCGGGCCCCTTCCCACGGCGCACCAACTCCTCCATCACGCCAACCTCCTCCTCGCGCCCAAGCCTCGACGCCCCAGCTTCCACCTCAAGCTCCCCCAATCCCAACAACCCCTCCTCCACCACCAGCTACAGCCACCACCACCACCACCAACACCCAGCCCAAACGCAACAACCGCGCCGCCCTCCGCGAGTACTACAACCTCCGCAACAACCCCAACAACAACAACAACAATAACAAGCCCCTCCCCTCCCACACCAATGCCCACGTACCAGTCCGCATCATACAAACACAACATGTCTGCCCAAGGGTACTCAACCCCCCTTTACCACCCTCTCTCCTCCAAACTGGGTAGATCATCAACAAACCAACCCAACTCCAACCAATCAAGAAACTAAACTCTAAGCTTCCGAGCCAAGAGGCTCAAACCATCTCACGTCAGACCAGGGTCACAT